TTTTTTTTTTTTTTTTTTTAATACTTGTTGGAATTAGGACCATTTTGATATATTATTTGCTTAACGACAGTCTATTTTAAACTTCTCAAATTCGAAAACCATAACCTACGAAGTACTGTTAAGTCTACAAGCTGGTGTAATAAACTCCATAAAATAACCAACTATAATTAAAATAATGAAGTTTACTCTTCGGTAGCGAACTGTTCGGTTTCGAACCCGATTACTTGTTTTTCTCTGGATTCATCTCTGGGTGCTTGTTTGTTCGAGAATACTAGATAATCAGATTTTTATTTCTTGGTGATTTCCTCCTCCTTTTTTCCACAAAAAGTCTAAACAGTCAAACTTGGTTACTGACAGATTGCGCCTTCCACAATACGCTGGAGAAAGTTGAAAACGCAGCTTTATTTCTACAGTTAGGCCTACCGTCCGCACTAATCCGTCGCGGAAATGGAGCTTTGAAAATGCTTTTCAAACCGGAGAAATCTGAAAACGCCGGGAAAAAACATTTTGAAAGTTGAGCTTTCTCGTGTGATTTCCCTTACCGACTTTTCCTCAAATGATTTTTGATTGACCGAGTTTTCCTCAAAAGGATTGTTGCGTTTTTAAATTCCTCCGGCGTAGTGTGGACGGAAAACATTTGATGCGTTTTCGGAGTAAAACCACAGTTTTCAAATTTCTTCAGCGTAGTGTGGACAGGGTTTCAAATGTTTCAGACCGAAAGGAACACTCTTCGCCATATTCGCGTGTTTAAAAACCCGGAAGTATACTTTTCGCGTAACTGAAAAACCGGAAGCTCTTCTTTCTACACTTTTCTGCAGACTTGAAACTGGAAACTCTCCATTCGTACCCGTCAACGCCTTCTATCAGATGCAGACCGCATCATCTCTCAGGGATCATCTCTCTCCCGGGGCTTAGGCTGACGGTGGGAGATGACTGGCATCCCCGGGTCGTCTCCTACGGGATTCCCTGATACCGGTCGGGTAGCAAAGGAGAGTCCATGGTGATATGGCCCTGTATACTGCATATATACCGCTAGGATCTTGCAAAAGCGTCCCGTGTGGAGATGAGTAATGAGAGATGGTACATTTTATGCACAGGGCCTTTTTTTGGAATCCTACCCTTTCGGAGTTATTTTGCCCTCTAGGCTTTGAAATTCGGGCTTAATTAATTTGAAACCTAAAATACGCAGTCAAATGCAATGTTTTTTTTTGTTTGTTCTTGTGCGCTAAGTTCGTGTCGGAAGTCTCTGACACTTGGCTGTAAAATGTAAAATTGTAAATATTGTCTAAAACTAGCTGCTGTTTATTTTCCTAAACGCCGTGATTTTTTCTTTTGACCATCTAAGACTTTGGTGAACCATTTCCACACGGGAAAAATAAAAATGTCTCTGAATCGGTGTTTATACAGCCGCGACATTTTTTGATTATTAAAAAAAAAACAAAAAACAAAAAACTGAAATAGTCTTCTTTGAGGTATTTATGTGAGATGCAAGTAACATTTTACCGTTTCAGGCGGCTACGAAATCCATACGACGAGAGCATATATTTAATGCTCTTATTAAAATATGCAAGAAGAAACGTGGGGAAAAAAATTGTCGGCAAGAAAAGAGATAATTTGAATTTGTTATTTCTACCACGGGGACAACTTCCGAATTATCTTAATTTAATTTCATTGTTATTCACGGCTATTAGCAAATGTAAAAACTCTGTATTTCACATAAGAACAACTGAACATTGGTTTTGATTGGTTGAATTTTTCCCGCCATAAGCCTCGAGACACAACACATTTTTGACAGCGAAAATCACCAAACAGCTGTTTTTTCAATTCGCGTCTACGACGCTAAAATTCGAACATTTCTGAGTTTGTTCTATGCCATGGAAGCCAGCGAGAACCGATAAACAACCGAATAACTGTCCTTTTAGAATTGCTTGACGGTTTGAACAGTTCTCGTCCAGTTTTCTTGGTTCAACAACGAGATTCAAGATGATTGAACTTCTCCGTGCGTTGAAGAATTTTCTTCAATCTTCGTCTGGGTAAATATACATCATTTATTTCAGGTCAAAGTGTTTTTCCGCTTCTTTCAAAAACACCATGTTTTCAAGCAGCGTTATCCTCACGTTGCAGACTGAAAAAGAACTGAGAATTATTTTACCTTTCGATTGCCTTTCGTTTCTGTTGAATGAATGATCAAAAGTTTATTACATAGGGCTATGTAAGGTCTTAGGCTCACAAAGTTTATAAGTGATTAGTCCTTACATAAGCAAATTTGACAACAACATTTTCTGTTACGTGGCTCGATTATTTTTGTCTTGATCACACAGAAAGAAAATAGAAAATGTCAGTAGACAATATTTGTTTTTACTATTTCGTCCTGTGTAAATTTAGTTGCAGAGAAAATAAGCGAATATCTTTTAGACATGAATTTGCAATAGCAAACCAATTTTTTTTTTTTTTAACGAAAATGAATATAACAAGGAATTTTAGAGATACATTGGAAGAGATGGAATAATTTATCACCATCACTTTCGTGCTTTTTTTCTGGAAGGCTCTGTGCGGCACTGTCAAGTGAGCTGAATATTCATTGACATTTTTATGTTTATTTTGAAGTGGTCGCTACACGCAATGAACAATTTTGTTTTCATAGGCCAATTGATTGCCTTTCTGTCAACAGTATTTTCCATCGTGGTTGAGGTGCGAACGCGAAAGGCACGAAGCAACATCGGTAAAATATTCTTAAAACTTTTCTCAACAGCCAAACCCTCTCCACAAGGACAACGACAAATTTGAGATGTGACAATTAACTCGCTTTTAAGTCACAGAACTTATTAATCCTGATAAAAGCTTTCGGTACAAAACGAGGTTCCTTGATAATCCCCTCGCTTGCAATGCGTTTCATTATTAAAAATGTTTGTATACCGAATAACATAATGACGAGAGTTTGGCATTGAAAACTACTTCCATGATAAGCCGAGAAAGATCCGATTTACAAAAGGTGATTTTCGACAGAATACGTAATCGCCGTATCGAGAACTTTCAATGTTTACTCTCATAGACTGACACTTACGCGATTTGAATAATTCCTGGGCGTTTCCAGCAACAGGTGGTTTCGGTCGTTAAAGATATTTTTATTTCTAATGAATTAAGCCGATTCCAAACTGTTCTTGTCGCTGAACTCTCCCTTTCCCCGTGCTATAGAGGTTGAACTCGAACGCGGTTTCGAGGCGACGCGTTTTCGTGTAGTGACAAGCATTTTGAGCTCTGTCCACAGTAATTCAAAGCCTCCATTCAAATGTACGCTGTTTTCGATACTTTAGGCCCTGTCCACATTACACCGGAAGGATTTGAAAACGCAGCTTTATTTCTGCAGTTAGACCTATCGTCCACACTAATCCGTCACAAAAAAGGAGCTTTTCGGAAACGCTATTCAAACCGGAAGAATTTGGAAACGCCGGCATTGCGTTCTAGTGAGGACGGAAAACATTTTGTAAACAGAGCCTTTTGAAAACTATGACATTACGATAAACGTGTGATTTCGCTGTCCGAACACGGTTTTCCTGAAAAACAAAGCCAAAATGACCGTGTACTTTCAAATTTCTCCGGCGTAGTGTGGACAGAGCGTTAATTGCGGACATTCGACACGCACGAAATTGGTATGGACAGGGCGTGGAGTCCGAGAAGCGAAGTTCGTGTTGGAACTGCTAGACCTTATGGTATACTATCATTATTTTACATTATGGAAACCTTTTTCTTTCATAATATAAGGAATACTTGGCTAATCCAGTTTTAAAATCTAAAAAAATTGCTCTCAATCTGAACTGGCGATTTTTTCGCGTGGTAGTTGCACAACGTGACAGATTTTTACCAATCAGTGTGACGAAAAATTACTGCTTGCGTTGCTGCTCCGGGTGAGTCATGCAATGTTTTCTACAATTCGTTACTAAGACGACAGAAATCGTGTGCTGAACCTCGGAAATATTTGTATTGAACATATTATTGTTTCTACATGCTTCACCGATCACAAATGTTGCTTTTGAGGTTAGTTGGAGAAGGAACGAGCTACAAATTCAATTTGCAAATGTTAAATGTAACATAATTTGATTTCAACGAGATATTGAGCAAAACGTATTTAATACACTCCCAATACTCAAGTAATGATAGTGCCAAACAGGTGTTGTGTGAGCAAATTAAACTTGTAGCGTGACATTGGTCACGCAGTACCCACTGATTTGATTTATAATTAGTGAAGTAAGGCATACTTATGGTTTGGGGACACCATGATTAAAAGAAAGTACAATCTTCTGGCAGTTCTTAAAACAAATGCTTTCAGCGAAGAAGAAAGGTTTAACACTTCTTTAATTGTATTTTATTCTTGAGTTCCCGCTAATTTATTTTAATATTATCTTCATCAACAGAAAAATGCCCTCGGTATATCACGAGAACTGCGGAAAACCAGGACCGAAGAGCATTGACTATCTTCCCCCACCAGAAGCACGCATTTTTAAATCTCGAAGCGCTCCGAATTCCCCGTTGTTGGGCGAGCGGAGACCCCTTTTCCCCAGAGCATCTCCTCGCCTCACTCGAGGACTGAGTCAGCTGTCTGACAAAACAGCCGGTTCAAAACCTACAAAGTCTTCCAAAGTTGGGCGAAGCAAATCTTTCCATGGTAAAGGTATGTGCTTATATAACTGGACTTTTAAATTCACTGCATATCGCATGGGAGTTTCGAATTCTACGTTTGTTTTTCACGTCTTTAATCGCTTGCTTCTTTTTGAGAAAATCAGGAAACGTGAACAGGTAGTAAAATGTCTGTAGAATGTGGTTAATCTTAGGAAATCTCCATAGGGAAAAAAGTATAGTGATGGATGCAATCTGGAAACGTTTACAGAAGGTGTAATAGTTTATATCAGAAGCATATCACCTTGACAAGGTGACATGCTTCTGTTTATTGAACCTGTAATTAATTGCTGTGATTTTCTTCACCAACGCAAGGAGTAATTATGTAAGAGATAAGATATGCCTTTGTTTGTTTGTATTCCTTATATGAAGTCGTCTTACTTAAGGAAAAAAAAATGCATCAATTTCTCCATGGCCACGATGTTGGTTTAGACTGAGAACGTTCCTCCAGCATTTTCTTCGTTCTTCTCCAGCATTCAAACCTTAATTTTTTCCGTAAACTTTCGTTTTGCCTCAAAATGCATTTGCATCAAACACAATATTTTGGCTTAGCAACAAGCCTCCAATTAAGTCATTAAATCAGTTTTAAAATGCTTAACAGCTAGGGCAATTTAAATTAAAACGTTGAGATGCTGAGTTTGTAAAATGGCGAATGGTGTACAGGATCTTACAGCATTGAGATATAGTTCTGTGGAATGTTTGTTACTCTGGGCTCGATAATTTAAGTAAATAGCTGCCGTGCTAGTTTAATACATTGGTTGTTTTTCCAACATAAGACAAAGCAATACGGGTCCTTGGCTTCATTCCAAACAAAACTGGTCCAGTTCAATACAGCCCTCTATCTGTCACGCAACACTACGCTCTTTCGTTGCGTGACAGAAAAATGGGCAGAACACCTTCCATACCGTGTGTTTACCATCCCCTGTTGATCCTGAGGAAAGAAAGGTCGCTTCCCTTCAGTGTCTCTTGCGAGTCTCCACGATTCCTATTCTTGGGTCTATTAACACGAATCCACAAATCCTGCAAAAGGTTTTCAAATTTTGCGCGAGGAGTAGAGCGAGGCTATTAAATTGCAAGACCCGTTAAAACGAGACATTTATGCGGCTGGATCTCTGGAACAGATGCAGGAACAGCAGCAAGGAAGGCGAAAGATTATGGAAAAGGCGTTTCGCCCGATTGGTAGCGTTTTCTAACGGATGAATGCAAGATTTAAGTCCCGAGCCAGTCCTGGGGTGAATACGAACACAAGAAAAAACATATAGTGGTGTGTGAGGGGGAAAAGGTGTAGGCTGTATTCTGTTATTGGTTGGTTTTATGCAGCCATTATTGGGTTGTCACGCAGTCGCTCTCGTTACCCGGGGGGCCGGGAAGTGTTGCGTGACGCCCCAAATGTTGAATACTGGCCGTGACTTTCTTGTTGAAAAATTGAAATAAAATAAATTTTGTCATAAATCATGAGTGTTTCTCTCCGTTCAGTAGTTGCACCTTCCTTTAATATATCCTACTCCTTCTATTTTTTATTGTTTAAGGCGGGGGTAAACATGAAAGGAGAAATCCTTCTCAAAATATCTTTTAACAAAGGCAAAAATAACTCGTTTTGAGCTTTGAACTTACAGTAGCAGAAAGATTTCTCAAGATAAACTTTAATACCTTAAGATCCAAATTCCGGCAAAAACATAAATTCCATCTTTTACAGAATTTTCATGTCTAACCCCGCCTCATTTTTTTTTTCCCGGTTTCTGTTAGTAATCTATTTCATTTTTCTTGCACCCATGGCCAAAGCGCCGCCCAGAGATTTAACATGTTTTATTTTCATTTTTTTTCGCTTTCCATCCTAAAACATCGACCTTCCCTTGTTTCTTTGATCCTTGATACGTGAATAAATTCGTCGCTCATTGAATAATTTGCACACGAGCGGATGGAAAAAAAAATCCTAACCCCTCCATAGACAGTGATATTTTGGTATGTTTTCGGCGTGACGTCATTAGCAACTTTGCGCCTTTGGAGCAAGCGCTGAATTTTTCGTCGCTCGAGCTCGGCGAGAGGTCAAATTGTTTGGCCTGCTAAACTGCGGTAAACGTGATGACTGAGTGTCATAAGTGCGGCAAACTAGTATATTTTGGTAAGCTGAAGCTTTTAAAAACAAAATCCCGCCAGTAGATTGCAAAATAATTCTTTTGTAGAACTACAGAAACGATAAACAACTTTGTTCCATCCGGACTCAGCGGCGAGCGGTCAACGAAGTAACAACATGATTGAGACTCAGGCAATCAAGTTTGTGATGTATTTATATGGTATTTTGCAGCTGAACAAAGAAATTCTCTTGGTAAAGTGTGGCATCCCGGCTGTTTACGATGTGAGGAATGCGGTAAAAGATTAAATCCGGGCCAACATTCTGAGGTAAGGTACTCGAAAGCTTTATTAGGGCTTTATACGCAGACTTCAAGAAATCGGTAGCCGGCCGGTAACTCGTGATAAAACCCTCTTGAACGTAAATTGCAATAGCAGAGAAAAGAGCTATATTTTTCAAGTCTTTGATTCTCAAAATTTAAGCTCAAGCAGCTGATATTCGTTCGTCCTTTTTGCGGTAGTTCGGGAAGCTTTCTTATCATGGGATTTGAGGTAAGCTCTTTGTAGAAGCCTTGCCAAAATAAGCTTATAACAAGTTTTGTTTTTTCAAACTTTTGAATTTAGATAAACCGTTATATGGGATGTGCAGTTTTCGGAGGGTTGTCTTGACTCAATGCCAATTTTCGTGGCTTCGAATGATGTGTCAATAATTTTGTTAATTAGATCTCTGAAGAGGCGACCACGCAAAACTAGGAAATTTTTCACTTTGTGTTTATTGTCACATAAAATAAACGAATTTAATCCCTACAAAGCATTGTCGTTTGCCTAAGGCAGGGTGACAAGTAACTTAAGAACGGACTCTTTTGATCAGTAGATGCGATAAAATTTGCTTAATATATGTGCCTGTCAGGCTGTGTCAATCTATCGAAGTGCCCAGTTTGAACAGTATGTCCTGCTTTTGTTAACTTTTTTCCGAACCGGGTGAGACAGGAATTAAATATAATACGATGAACAATTTTTAAATCTGGTTATTAAAATTAATATATTACTACAGTTACCTCCTCCTCGCTCCCTGGAAATTCTAAATAATTATATGATATAAACACTGTGTCCAGAAACTGGACAGGGTTTTTAAAATACTCTAAGTTTGAAAGAAAATGGTCCATTTATGACTATGTATTCCTTGTGTTACCAGATGAATACAATTATTGAGAACTAGCCATAAACAGGCCAATTTGTGTGATATTCAGGTGAACCATGGCTAAAGGGAGTCGCTATTCAGGCTAGCCGGACACAGAGTACTGTGGTACATTTGTTTAAAATAATCCATGTCTACTTAGCAGTGAATAGCACTCCTGGCATCTTGTGACGAGCAAAGGTTATAGCTTGAGTGGCACATGGTTGGCCTGTCTATGGTTAGACTTTGACTCAGTTATTGTTATGGTAACACAATGTAAAAGGAAGATTTTCTGACTGTGCGACACAGAATATTTTGAAAATGATGTCTGGCTGCCGGACATTAGACACAGGGTAAAATAAATGTATACAATTCTTGGTATAATTAAAAATGTATATAAGCATTTTATCCTTTCTTCAGGTAATTTGAAGAGTTTCATTAGAGAATGTTTCGTACATCATATGTTGTAATTTTTTGTTGTGCTCTCGCCGACTGTTGTGACGTGTTTGCATTGTGTGATTCTTAGAAACATTTCCAGTTATGTTTACATGTAAAGTACTTGCAAAAAGTTGATCTTGTAGTTAAACACAACAAGACGTTTTTATCTCAGGGCATGTTATGCTAAACAGTGTACAATTTTCAATGAACAAAAAACTCAATTTTGCAATAGCAATGGAATGGGATATTTTATCTTCAAACTTTTTTTTCGGTCACTGGTTTCTTACCAAGTAAAACTGACTTTGTGTGGTAGAAATAGATAGTCCCAGATCTAATGAACCTGTAATAATTGTAAATAAATGTAGAATTAATAATTTTAACTGAAAGTCTGTGCTTTGCACAGCATTGTTATATTCCATTTTTTGTTTGGAAAGTCCATTCCAAGATTCCAGTTCCTGATTTTCCGTTTCCTGTCAATGATGCAATGTGTTAAAATATTAACTCATTGTCCTTGATCAGAATGGAAGCAGATGCCTTTCTTCTGATTCAACGCAGAGTTCCTCATCTTCTGTCGAACTGGGTGGTAATATGCCAATCTTTTGCCTTTATTTGTGTTTCTATAGTAAAAAGATTGTGCTTAGATCTTGAAGATTGAGCCATGTTTTGATACTATCAATATTGAAGTCACAACAGCATGCACTAACAAATGTTCAATAGGTTCTTGCTGATAAAAGGTGTAAATGACATTTGATTTATCTTGACTGAATTTAACCAGTTAACCAGTTGGTTAGTTCATGATTAGGATAATGCAGTATAACCTCAATTTGTGGGGTGGTTAAACCAGAATTGAAATCATTGTACGTTGACTTGTATGTATTAATGTAATCATTACAAGTTAAAATTCTTCAGTCTTCAGAGTCACAAATGGCTTCTTTCCAAGACTGTTTCTTGATTTTATTTTCAAGGGAAAAGAACACACATATATATCTAGGGATTTTTCATTCAACCCTAATTAGTTTTAGTTCATTTGCTATTAGCTCTTTAGAGTGAAAACATTTGATACTCAGTTTTCTGATGAAATGAAATAAGATATACACACACTGTGATGTCTTGATGAAATGTTTCATAGAGCTGTCTGCTTCAACAGGTTTTTCATGTGTCAAAACCTGCCTGTTAGCTTAGTGTTCAGTCTAACTTTTGCCTGTTTATTGATTGACATATTGTGGTCAGCTTAGTTACGTGAAAGCTTAGGCAGAAACATAATAATTATTATATTATGTTAATAAAGTGTGTGGTTGTGATTTTCATCCATGTATGTTGAACCTTCAGTTCTTGTTTGGAAATTAGAGCAAGATAGAGCATTCCTAGACTGAAATTATTGTGATATAACACAACAGCAAAAAAAAAAGTTATATGCATGTCTGGTTCAAGTGAATATGATCTTCGCTTGTTGATTTTAATCATGAAATATTTTGAACATGCTATAATTGTTATGTCAATGGCGTACATGTCATAATATTGGTTAAGTATTTGCATGGGTGTGTTGCAACATAAAAAAGAAACATAATATGTTTCTTTTTTACAGTTTGTTATGTAGTAGCTTTTAACCTATGTATATATTGTTCACAGAATATGAGTTGTTCTCATGACAAGTTTGAATTTGAGTTGTTAAAATTCTATTCTTGGACATATCAAGGGTAAACCTTAAGTGTAGGAAATTAGCTGAATAATTTGTAAGTTTTGAAAATACCATACCAGACATTTAATCTAGTTGTCTCCCCCAGGGTCATGTGTGGATCACAGATTGTTATGTTCATATGTATTGAAGTTGTTTTTGATCACGTAACTCTCAGCTTTAATTTGCTTTTGAAGTCAAGTCAATTTTTCATGAATATCAACATGGCTTATAGTAACATGACTTTCGTTGAAAATCTATAATTAAAATCTGGAATAAATTTATTGGTTTGTTTGATTTGTGAGGTTGTAACTTGTTTAAATCTTTAAATTATTTGCTCCTGAAAGACAACTCTGCAAGTTATCTAAAGAAGCTGATCAGCCGGTCAATTCGCCTGGTGCCCAGCCCTTAATGAAATCCCAGTATCAGACTTGCTTTATGAGTTATTCAGATCTACTGTATCTCACCTAAATACACACCAAAGGTCGATCAAAGTTGTGTGATATGCAGTTGAGGCTTACCAGAAGGTACAATCAGGTATATAATTCAATGATATTTGTATTTATTTTATAGCACAGAGGTATTCCCTACTGCAATATACCATGCTACAGTTTGTTATTTGGCCCAGGTGGATATGGCAGAGGCGGTACAGAATCATATCAATATTTTGCAGATGATAAGCTTACGCCAGCAGAACTAGATGCTATAAGGTATATAAATTGCAATTGTTATATATCATTATTACATCCAGGTAAATTATTGCCTGAATGTAACAATGATTTTGTTTTAAGTATAATATTATAGTAATTAATATAATAATTGTTATATACATTGTTATTCAGGCTTTTAGCCAGATGGGTGTCCAGATATCCTGCAGAAAATTGTCTTATTTTTCATATGCTGCGTTATAAATTGAAGGGGTGAGTGCAAAACCATGCTAAGTGACGATTTGGGTGAAAAAAAAAAATTTCGCAAAAGGGCTTGAGTTTTTGCATGTGGTCTTCAATATAATAGAAAAACGCGGCCCTGTATTTTTGTCGCTGGTTTCTGCTTCGTTTTCGAGTTATAACGTATGCAAAAATACTTGGCTTTTCCTGGCCATGTCTTTAGGAGTTTATTTGTTGAACAGCAAACAGGCAGACTGTTT